GAAACGTGACCGCCTTCCGGGGCCAGACGAGCAGACTGCCCTGCACTGTTCGCCATCTCTCCGGCAAACAGGTAAACCTTGGCTTTCTATCTAAAGAGTAAATTGTGCAAGCGACGTTAACTTCCTAAACGGTGTTGCCAAGGTAGAGTAAAAGTTACAATTTATTACAAAATAAGACTAGCAAAATGTGTAACACTACAGTTTCTTTTAATGCATTTCGATTCCACTAATAACTTTGACTTTTACCCGGTTTCTTTTAATGCCATTCCATTCAGTAATAGCTTTCACTTGTTGCAATTATTTCTTTTAATGCATTTCGAATCAATTAATAGCTTTGACATGTTACTTGGTTTCTTTTAATGCCAATCGATTCAGTAATAGCTTTGACTTGCTGTTTGGTTTCTATTAATGCAATTCCATTCCACTAATAGCTTTGGATAGTTGTCTGGTTACTTTTAATGCATTTCGGATCCACCATAGCTTTAACTTGTTGCCTTGTTTATTTTAATGCAATTCGATTGCGCTATAATAGCTTTATCATGTTGTCTGATTTCTTTTAATGCAATTAAATTCTACTAATAGCTTTGGACTGTTGTCTGGATTCTTTTTGTGCAATTTGATTCCACTATAATAGCTTTGAATTGTCTTGTTTCTTTTAATGCAATTCGATTGCACTAGAGCTGTAACTTGTTGTCTGGATTCTTTTACTGCAATTAGAATCTACTAATAGCTTTGGCTTGTTGTCTTGTTTATTTTAATGCAATTCGAATTCGATAAAAATTAGATTGAACTTCTCTAAAAATAATACGTTGGTTGGGTTTACGCTAGTCATAATAATTACTGGCTTGCAGAATGCAGAAATTTTTAAACAACCGCAGGATTAATTACACGACACTTTCACAGGGTTCCACAATAAATTTTGAACGGGAACAGATCGGAGCAGGCAACTATAGATGTTATCTGGTCGCTGTCGCGAGGAGGGATGGAATAAATTATTATAAGGAATAAATTATATGAATGAAGTTTCTTCTTTAAATTGTTTGAGTTCTGTGCAAATAATTGAATATGACAGCAAAAAAATCTTGAACAGTATTTATAAACAAGTTAATTTAAATTTCCCAAAATTCACCAATCGCTAGGTGAGACGCTTGCTGATTCGGGGAATTTTGTTGTGTTTGTATCTTGGATATCAAAAAACTAAATGATTTCAGCTAATTAAGGTTCAAGATTTGCCTACACTAAATTTATGTTTTTACACTAAATTCCCTCCATTTTTACAACACTTCTCTTTAACTTCACTTCTTGTCTGTTTGTTTGTCTGTCTGCTACAAATCTTATAATCGAATTTTAACACACTTCTACTTATCCTATCGATCTGAAATTTTGCACACTTGCGTAAAGTTGGAGACAATGCAAGAATCAAATGACAAAATAAATGATTTTAAAAAGGTAAAAAAAAATTTTCAATATTGAAAAATTTGAAAAAATAATTTTGTCAGCTACAAATCTTATAACTGATATTTGACACACTTTTACCAGCCCAATTAATCTGAACTTTTGCACACTTGTGTGAAATTGGAGGCAATGCATGAATTAATTGACAGAATAAATTATTTTGATAAAAATTTTAATTTATTTAAAAAATTGAAAAATTACTTTTTTTAATATTCAATAATAAAATGAAAAATGCATTGTACATATTTAACATTGGAGACACTTGATTCTTGAGAAGTGTTGTCTTTAAAAAGTAATTTTTAAACGTATATTATTATTCTTAAAACCAGAATCTTGTTATAACCTAGTACCTAGTTTCTACACTGGATTCTTTAGAAGTGTTGTCTTTAAAAAGTAATTTTTAAACGTATATTATTATTCTTAATACCAGAATCTTGTTATAACCTAGTACCTAGTTTCAGTGATAACATAGAGGGCAAACTAAGCACTTTGAGAGGCACTTTGCTCTAGTTAAGTAAAAAGAACTTGTCGACCAGCAACGGTCCATAAGTTGTATGCTCCAGCACCGAAGCTGTACGATAAATTAGAGTCGTTGTGACCGGGGTGCGCTAGCGTGATTCTGAACGTTATGCGCTAAAAACTTGCGCTGAATTTCATTCAATTTTACAACACACTTTCGTAAAAAATTTAAATAAAAATAATTGAAGAAGTGTTGTGTGTTCACGTGGTGAAACGAGTGTGGGATTTTTTTTATGTGTTTTTGGTTACAGTGCTAAATCAAATTTGGACTTTTTAAGCGATTGTGTTTCGTATAGAGGTTTTTTATTGTGCAGATTTTATTCAATTTCTTCTTCGATTTTTTCTTTTGGACTATATTGATTCCAGCAGGGCATTGCATGTGCCAAAACACTGATGACTTGTACATTTATATCCATGTTAAGTACAAGCCTTATTTTATGGCATTTGCTGAACAAAATTGCGACATTTACGCCAAAAAATATGAACGGAATACATTGTCCAAATTGCAACCCACTTTTTACACGCATTACTGGTACGCACTTCTGCCGGGCTCAACTGGGTATGCATATTCCACACTAGGGTAGAAAGTACATAGCTATTTGAGAAATGCCACACTCATTTCTTTGTGTGATATGATAATTATTGTCTCTCGGCAACATTGCAAGCCGTGAACCGTCAAAATTTTTAAATTTTTACTTATAAGAACTCAGGCTAGATAAAAATACCACGAGCACAGCAAAGTGTCGCTTGCTAAGCAAGTTAGAGACAGTGAAGGCGATCTGTTAATTGAAGCAGTCGCCCCCAAAGCGCCTCCTAGGCTCAGCTTGCTCTGTGAAAAAATATAGGGTCATATTGTCAAAATAGTGACACACTTTCTTAATCACATCACGAGCAGAGAACGACAGTAGAACTGATATGCTTTTTTGCTAGGCCTAACTGAGTCGGGATGACTCACAAAAAGGGTAGGAAATGCATCGAAAATTAGACAAGACTCGCTTATTCTTTGGCAAGCATTGACTGGCTTTTCAATGCCGACATGTAACTGTGGCATAGTATTTGAATGAAACCTAATAAAAGTCGCTTTAAAATAATAAAACTGATTTATTAACTGCAGTAAATCGAATTTTAATACAATGTAATTTTATGGCTCTTACTAGGAATCAATCAGTGATGTAATAACTGAAGGAAGCCTGAATGTGTTGCGGTTTTTGATGTACGAACGAGATTTTGTTAGGCTTGAATAAACCTAGAAAGCAATAAAAAAATTTTGTTTGTTTTAAATAATTTTATCATCTAAACTATATCTATTACGACAATAAATTAAGAACGAGAGTTTACTCGTGTGTCTATTGTTCAATTTATATATTTTGAAACACACTGCCGTAATAGAGTTCAGGCCTCGTGACTCTTAAAAGATATTTATGATCCGATGCCTGAAAGCTATATTAGTCTGAGACAATTTATATCACCATTGAATGCAGAACATTTATAGACCGATTCAGACCAACAAATTTTTTCAAATGTCTGGTTCAGACAAAGTAGAAACAATTATGTCTCACAGCTTTTTCACTTTCCAACAAATTCACCTCAAGAAAATCAGCTTCAGTATTTTGCTGCAAACTTCAGCATCGTCCGCTAGGCTGGAAGTCTTCCGCAGCTGAGGAGCGAAGAGTTCATTGAGCTGCCGACGTAAGGCTCGCGTTTCGACCTCGCTAGCTGTGCAGTAAATCATAGAGTTCGTGCCGGAATTTCGCGCAAAGCTGCTGGAATGTAAAACGGACCCAAGTGAATACTAAGGATGGAACGTAAATATGTGAAGTATTTCAACGCTAGAGCTTGCTTCGGAGGAAGGTACGCGGAAAACAGGATTAACGGAGCTAACACAGATGTAATCCAGAGCGAATCAGTTTTTCTGAATTCGATTAAATTAATATGAAGAAATGAAAGAAGAGAGTTTGCAAATACCCATTCTAAATTATGTTAGTTTGGCTGGAACTTTCACAAAGTTTCTGAGATTAATTTTAACATAGCATTCAATAGGATTGGTTATATTTTCTTGCTTGAAACTACCAATCACGAGATTTTACAATGCATATAAATGATCCAAATAAATAACAGGAATGTTTCCCTTTGAAATTTTTCAGCACATAATAGCTTGTAGATACCAGATAAAAAATTATCAATTTCAAATCTATATAAAACTTCCAGCTCTAACATATGATTTTAAACGGTACTAAATAATTTTACCAAAGCCCCTCTTAGTCTATTTCTTTTTTAATTCATTTTTTATCCATGACAAAAACGTGCTGTCAACGCTGTGGCGACCGAATTTGTTACTGCAAACTTGACAGCAGACAGAATTTGACAGCAAACTTGATTACATAATCACTTTCAACATTATGTCATCATGCATAATGGGAGGCGACTGTCACTTTTTCAGGAAAAAGTCACGTTGGACTTGTCGTCGGTAGAGGCCCAGAAATACAAAACTAACTTTTCAAAGTTCATGCTCGCATAGTAACGCAAAAGTTGTCGGGCTTTACAATAGTAATCAAACAACAAGACGACAGATGCTACAGGCATACCATGGACTTTCAATGAGCTTTGAATCATGCTGAAACTTTGACAGCCCTCAGATCTCTGTATGGGACTTTAATAATAAAATAATTCCGGAGGAAACATTCGACACAGAAGATTTCTGTTCGTACGCAACTGAGAAAATTCTAGTTCTCAATTAATGTCCAGAAATGTAACAAATGTCAATTCACACCAATTTTAAATGAATTTGAAGTGGCTTTGACGAATTCAGTTCTAATTGGAAAAATAATTTCTAAAAAATAATGAATTTATTTATGGGGGAATTTTTCCTCTCGCCTCTGGCGAGATTTGGAGTTCTCATCACGTGCTTAGTTTTTCTCAAGTTTCATTTACGGATGGTGAACCACGATGGAAGAATTTAGGGCTAAAAAATAAATGTAACTCAGGCGGAGGAATTTTCTGATTTGTCTTCATTTGTGTCATGACAGATATGGTCGCGAAAATTTTGGGTCCAAACGAGCTTTTCGTGAAGGCCGGTACGCCTGTTACGCTGGTGTGTCAAGTGGAACACTCGGCCGATTTGCCAGGTATGTTGGTAAAATATAAATGATAAGATATAATAACAATGAACAACGATACTTCAAATGGTGGTAATTGGGGAATTAATTTCAATGTAATTGACATATGGTCTTAATCAATGTTTTAAATGATAGAAATTGAGAAGTTAATTCTGGAATACAGTTGGCAAGGGAAGTGAACGATTATTTTGAATGATTGAAATTGAGAAATGAATTTCAATAAAAATTACCGAGGAAGCAAACCAATTAGGCTTTCTTCGGCAAAGGTAATTGGCAGAATCACGGCATAGGAAAAATAATTGCATATTTATAATATAATAATATTTATGTACATATTTCAAGTCGAAATACTTTCGAATTAAAGGAAGAACGCTTTCTAATACTTGGGAAAATAGTCTGAAATTTTTTTTCCCCGATTCATGATAGCCATGTTTGTTTACCAATGAACACGGTAATGATCAATTTGCTTACCCCCAATAGCATATGTATTATTTATTTTCCTTTTTCTATATAATAACTTTTGATGTGAAAATGATATAAATGCCGCTTAAACAAAAATAAATGAGACTTACTAATTAAAAATAGGTTCAAATAATAGCACGGAACTGAGGTCATTTGGGTACACGTAAGCTGAAGGCTTCCGGGATTTCCCAATACAGCGTATCACAGCACGTGAACCTATCCTACTAGCGATGTTTATCACGGAGAACGTGCCTGAGAGGGCACTGTCGAGTCTTCAGCTACAGCATGACGGTCACTCCTAAGAAAATGGGCAGAAGAATTGAACCTATTCTCTCACGGCGTGTTTTTAGTCTAAAAGAACATGCAGTTTAGGCTTCGAAGTATATTTCTTCGAAAAATTGAAATTTTTTAGTAGAAAAAAAATAGTCATGCTTGCCAGTACTCGTTCAAAAGATTCGACAAAAATTACCGAGTATCATTAGGTATTAGAAAATCACACCTATAATTAATGAGAAATTAATTCAAATTGTGTTTCTATATAATTCCACTTGGAGACAATTAATTGCCTTTAATATACTCTGATGAACAGAATTGAATAAATTACAAGTTCGCTCCATTTTTTCAGTTGAATCAAATGTACCAGTAACTTGATAAAAGATGACAGTAACTTTATAAGAAGCAATACCTTGATGAAAGTTAGGAAAAAAATTAAACTACATTATGTATTCCAAACATAAAACGTCGAGAATGCGTGCAGTCTCGATACCCAAGAATCGCAATATTAGGATTTATCTCGTTTTCAAAAAACTTGTGTTACAATTCAATGTTACAGTTCCTTGATGTCTTATGGCAATAAAAGCAAAAGTTCAATCCATTTTCCCAACATTACATGATTTATGAACATTTGTTATGCTATTATTTGAACCTCAATATGTTTATCTGTAGAGCACAGAGCAGCACTCGCGATGCCATATACATTAGAGCTTCCTGTCCACAGACGTGCGTTAGCAATACGTTGTTGGCGCCTATATATTCACATAGGCATTATAATTTGAACATATATTTCCTACAGAAATGACAACAGATCCTGTATTTCATTCTCGGTTTGACTTTGTGGCCTCACTTCTCGCATTATTTTCACTAAATGATGTTGCAATGTAGATAATTTAAATTATTGAAACTGAAAGGCCGTGTTCAAAATCAATACAATGCGGATAATTTAAATTATTGAAACTGAAAGGCCGTGTTCAAAATCAAGTTTTCATGTTGAGGTTGAATTTAGACAGAAAATTATGAGCGGTAAGTTCGCAAAAAGTGTGGAGGGATTCTCAAAGGAAGAAACTTTTCCAACAATGATGGTTTAAAAATTAATTTTTAATTGCTTTATTTTTAGAAATGTATACCATTATAAAATTTTTCATTAGAGATCTTATGTTATAAGCGTAATATGTGTCGATTTGTAGGATGTTGTAAGTACGAGTTGTAAGTCGTTAAGTACGAAAATGGCTGCCGTGACAGCCTTGCATGCCCGTATTATGCACGGCGTATAATCAGTATAATTATCTCTGTTAATAGAACAGCGACTCATTAAAGTGATCGCTGGGCCATAATAACTGCCACCAGTATTTTCACTCATGAACCCGTTGTGTGGGATTTTTGTGTTTATTTAACATTTTTTATCATGCTCTCCTTAAATTAGTGAAAAAATCGTGACTTCCTACCATTATTAAAATCTTTCCAGTTTTTTCGCGCTCTACTACAAAAGACTAATATTGAATGATGACGAACAAAAAATATGGGGAACTATGCAACACATTAAAATGTTAATTTGATGACATTCTGCCGGATCAAACCAATATTTGGCAGAAGCTCAATTTTTATAAATCAAGTCTATAAATTACACCAAATTTTTAATTTGTAATCGACAACTCCGGCAGGTTTCATCTTCTGGTACAAAGGAACGTCGCTGGTGGACTACGAGGCTTCGGCCGGACGCATCGCTGTCATGACGCGCGCTGAGGGCAAAAGCGAACTTGTGTTCCGTACCGCCGACCAACACGACTCTGCCAACTACACGTGCCGGCCCTCCGGCGGCCGTGGCACCTCTGTCACCCTCAATGTTATAGTTGGTCAGTACCAACACGACTCTGCCAACTACACCTGCTAGCCCTCTGGCGGCCGCGGCACCTCTATTAAATATGGCGGACTTTCTCTTCATTGTTATATACCGGGAAATAACGAAAATTTATCAGTTCAATCACGCAGCGTTTCTCAAGTCTACGGACTCTAAACCCAGTATTTCATTTACTACAGTCATGTGGCAGCGTGGCTATAGTCTACGGACATGTTATACTCAGTTAGTACTTACACGACACTGCTAACTACATACGGCTTTCTTTGCGTTTGAATGGATTAATAGAAGAGAGCTGAAAAAACGAGATTTTGTTGAATAGTTTCGACGGCTCAAGCTTCAGTGATTTTATTTGTCGATAGTTCAATTATTATATTAAGATTAACTATGAATTTTTTAGCGGCGAAAAAGCTTGCATGAACCTAAAAAGCTGTAGTCTTCCTAATTAACCAAAATATTCGCTTCATTCAACGGTATCATATGGTAAAAATAAACTGATATTTTTAATAAACACGCATATATATGATCTGTATTTCAATTAATTCAAAACCCTCATTGTTTTATGATAATATACGCATATACATTTAATATTTGAATGAATTTCCCGGAAGCCTCTTAGAAATCATTTAATCTAAAGTGTGATTATCATACTGAAGTACACGTACAATTAGGGAAATGAGTGAAGACTTTGTCCAAAAAGTGATTCACTATTTGCCTTTTAATGGGTCATTCTGACTCAGTTTGGCCCATTCATTTTTCTGTGTGTATAAAGTCACCCTAATTTGGTAATTCAATTATGCTTCAATGGGTTAATTAGATAAGACTGAGCTGAGTGCCTCGGTCTTGCATATTTTCAAAGCACGTTTCCGCCGCTAATTCCGTGAGTATTTGAGTATTTAGACTTACACAGAGTGTATAGTTTCACTTGCAGTATTTTTATAAGCCAACAAATTAAACTATACAAACGAAGGTTTCTAACAACCAATTAAGGAATAATTGCGAGAGTTGAAGCAGCGGCATAGCTTGATGTTTACTCGGTATGATGCTGCAGTACTCGCCTCTGAATCCTTGTTGTTGCTGAAGATTTTCAGGGTCCTTAAAAAAATTTTCGAGGCCATTTACGTGCTCCAAAATCTGGATTAAGAAAGTTTATGGAAGCTCTGAACATAGCGGCAAAGAAAGCCTTTGTTTCCAAATGACATCGACTGCTGCCTACAAACGTAAATTCGTTTAACAGCCTCACACTTTTGCCTCTTGCCGAGAACACCAAATATTTCAGCGCTATCAGGATTATCTTTTGAAATTTGCACTCGTATTTTAGTTCCTTTAAAATATTAGCTTTGGAAAAATTTTTATTTGCATATATAACGCTCAATCAGGCGAGTTTGCCAAGGGAATTGAAATAGCGTCATAGTAATGAGATTATCTTTTTTACCATGAAAGCATTTGGAAAGAGTTTTCCGAATCTGTCTTTTAATGTTAATATTTTTTATTCATGAATAAATGTAAACTCATTTGGAGTAAAAACCAATACCAGCAATGCATGAAAAAAAACTCCCGTTTGCTCTATAAAACGTAATTAACCCGCGTAATTGTACACATATCAATTTTTTTAGCTACAAGATAATCAGATCATACTTAATCTAATCCGATAACCTCCTTTATTAGTTGTTTTGGTGTGTTTAATTTAAAAATCGGGAATATCAGAGCTGCATGCCAGTGGAAAGATATCTAACAGACAAAGGCCAATATTTTTTACTATTTCTTAAAATGCGCATTATTATAATAACAGTCGGACGGTATATTATACTAATCCTGAATAAATTAATAACAGAGGAATTTTACCGTTTTTAGCGCATTTTCTCATTTATGGAAAAAATGCACTATTGTGCTCGCCATGTCCGTCTGTCTCTCTGTCTGTCTGTCCGTCTGTCCGTCCGTGACCTCAAGTTTTCGTCGACGAGAAAATGCGCTCTCTGTCACTCACTGCAGTGAGTACTGAGTTATATTTTTTATATAATATAGAATAAAATTGTCGGCTCTACCATTCAACGAAATTCATCAAATTTTTTCGGCACACAGTCACAAATCTTGTCATGTCGACCGCACTTCTCAGCTCTCACCGAAACACTCTATAAAACTGTGTTCTTATATATCTTTGGCAATTTTAGTCAATCTGCAGTTATGTTATTTGCTATAAATATTCTTAATTAATAATTTCTTGATATTTCCACGTCGCTAGAGAACGTCGCATCATAAAAATTTGCATGATTTCACATTCGTTCTTTTTTCTACTCACAGACGAGCGTCCAGCCGCGATGCAGCAAGGCAGCCATGCCACCAGAATCTCTGTATTTTGGACACCGATATTGACAGCCATTGTTATCGCCGCGTTTGCGGCGGCCGGACATAAAGGCCTCCTAAATCCCCCACCCCTCATGCCACCAACGTTCCAAAGACCCGATTCCTTTGGCACGTTGAATAAATCGTCTTCTGGTGTCGGAATTGTCCACGAGAGCCGCCAGACTTCGACATCCATCCTCCGGAATCAGCAAGCTACGATAAAAGCCTCAATGACGCGCAAAAGCAGGAAAATGTTGCTGAATTTTACAGGGTTTCCAAAGGCTCAAAGCGGCTTCTTTCAGAAGGGCTCGAACGACCAGACCCAGAGGGCTTTTGTCAGGGTTTTTAGTATTTCTGGATTTAATGACAGGACCCTTTTAGTGGATCATTGTTAGAATAGAGTTCTTTCAGTTACCCGTGTTAAAAAAATGAGGTGAGAAGAATGCGTGATAAGGTTTAGTAGTCCAAGAAGTACTTGTAAGAAGAAATATATGTGAGATTCTATGTAAATATTCACGTGATATATGTATATTATTCTTAAATCCAAATTGGAAGAAAACTAGAATATTTTTATGGCTTGGCTTTTACGGCTGAATTTATGGTATTTGTTAGTGATGCATCAGATGTAGCAGAAGTTCGTGTTCAAATGAACATTCATTTCAATTTTTGTTCAGTAACAGCGTAGTCTCCCACAACAGTGGCATAACCAAACAATGAGCTTTCAGAAATAACATTAACATGGTTCTATCTTTTCCTTCAAACTTTTATGAGTCCTTCTTCAAATTCCTTTCGAGTATTCTATTCACCGCAGAGAAGCAATTCCTATACTGAAGTTCACAAATGGTATTACACTTTTAAACGGGAATTGTGAAGTTGCGAGTGAACAACACATAAAACTGTAACTTCATGTCTTGAAGATGAAATCTATTTTCACAGGCACAATATTTTTCGAAGAGGTTTTAATAAATATGCATTACAGCTATTCAAATACTCCATATGTTTTCTTGACAGTTTCATTAGATAAATCTTAGACAACAAATAAAAGACTTTTTTCAATTTTGATGAAACAAGTTGAATTAATTTTAGCCAGACTTTGTATTTTGTGAATTTCTAGACCTCTTTTTCTCTCTGCTCCCACGGCATTCATGCATCAGTATTGTATTGTTAAATTCTTTTTGTGTTGTGTAAATACCAGAATATTTGTAAGACGTTCTGCAAGAATGTTGTGCTGGTAAACTGAAGACATTTGTAACATTTCTCAAATTTAAACAGAAGTAAACTGTTAGTGACTCAAATTTATCATCTCAATATATATCAGTATTATCGTCACAATTCTTTATTTTATTAATACTATTTACTGTAACTATTTCTTGACATAGCGATTTATGACGAAAATAGATTTGGCTATAAAATAAAAGCTAATTCAGTCAACGCATTAATTATATGTAAATTTGATTGATTAATTTGTTGATGTATATTTAGTACTTAAATTTTATTATTAATCATCATTTTGAATAAAATTATAAAAGGAATCAGATTAATCTCACCAATTAATGACGTGATTTGGTCAAAAATACATATCCGAAAAATCTTAAATAATAAATTTTTCTGAATTCAAATTATGTTTTTTTAATGTGTCCAGCTTTCATGAACCATTATTTAAACATTAAGGTTGTTTACGCGTATTGAAAATATGTAATATACGGAGGAAATATTATATATTGGAGAATGTAAATGAGTTTATCAACATTACGATATTAGAGACCTTTCCAATACGAATCGTTCTCCTGGTAGATTGTAATAAGTTTCGGATGTAATGTAAATGTAATTAATGTGAAAATATAGCTGACTCTGAAGTAAATACAAGAAAATTCTTTGAACTTTTCATTTCCGATATGGAGTGCAGCACTTAGGAAGAAATTTCTTTGTGAAGAAGAAGAGGAAAAAAAATTACAACGAGCATCTGCACTTTTCATCATTCAAACAAATGAAGAAAGTCATTCAAAGAAATCAATTATTCATTGTCGACTTATATCAATTCATTACTCGATGAATTTATCAGGCTAATCAAAACTCACGTGCTTCAATCATTTGCGATAATGATTCTTGAAACTATTTCATATCAAATCAATTTTTGTTATTGGTATTGCATTAAGTTTTTAATACAATATATTGCGTGTTCAATTATCAACTTTTGCCCCTCGCTCTCATTCAATACGTGAATCAACTTTTTGTCATTCCAAATTTTATAACATTGAAAAGAAATTGTTACGAGGTAAAAATTGTTATTGTTACGCTGCAAAATAGCGAAAATTTCCCATGGAAATTTTTTGCATTGTTCTAATGGAAGCATAAATTATGTGAGCGAGCACAGCCTCAACGAGAGATGAATCTCAATTATTATGCATAAATAATTTCACAATTAGTGATAAACTCATCCATTCTCAGTTCAGGAATAAAAATCTTGTTTCGCTTAATTAATGGAAAAGAAATTTTTCGACTCAAGCCGGGATGTAATGATGTAAATTTGAATTTTGAATACAATATTAATTTTATATCAGTTGCCAGAAAAGCAAATTTCTCAAAGAATTCAATGAACGAAATTTTATTTATAAAAGTTTAATATTCATAAGAGATACAGGCTGCCAAAATAAATTCTTCACTGTCGTGCATCTAATTTTTAGAGCATTTTC